TTACATTGAAGCATATATGTGAACAGTATTTTTGATAAAGGTAGGGAAGTTTTTATTGCAAATTTTTGGATTTAGAAAAGGCATATGATAGAGGGGATAGAGGAGCAATGTGGCAGATGTTGCAGTTTATGGAATAGGTGGTAAGTTATCAAATGCTGTAAAGAGCTTTTATGAGGATAGTGAGGCCCCAGGTTAGGGTGTGTAGAAGAGAGGAGAATACTTCCCAGTAAAAGTAGGTCTTAGACAGGGATGTGTAATGTCACCATGGTTGTTAATATATTTATAGATGGGGTTGTAAAAGAAGTAAATGCTAGGGTGTTCGGGAGAGGGGTGGGATTAAATTTTGGGAATCAAATTCAAAATGGAATTGACACAGTTACTTTTTGCAGATGATACTGTGCTTATGGGGGATTCTAAAGAAAAATTGCAAAAGGGTTTGTGGATGAGTTGAGAATGTGTGTAAAGGTAGAAAGTTGAAAGTGAACATAGAAAAGAGGGAAGGTGATGAGGGTATCAAATGATTTAGATAAAGAAAAAAATTTGGATAACAAATTGGGGAGGAGGAGTATGGAAGAAGTGAATGTTTTCAGATACTTGGAGTTGACGTGTCGGCGGATGGATTATGAAGGAGAGGTTAAACATAGAATTGATGAGGGAAAAAAGGTGAGTGGTGCGTTGAGGTAATGTGGAGTCAAAAACGTTATCTATGGAGGCAAAGAAGGGAATGTATGAAAGTAAAAGTAGTCCAACACTCTTATAAAGGATGTGAAGCTTGGGTGGGAAATGCAGCAAAGCGAGGAGACGGTTGGAGGCAGTGGAGATGTCCTGTCTAAGGGGAATGTGTGGTGTAAATATTATACAGAAAATTCGGGGTGTGGAAATTAGGAGAAGGTGTGGAGTTAATAAAAGCATTAGTCAGAGGGCAGAAGAGGGTTGTTTGAGGTGGTTTGGTCATTTAGAGAGAATGGATCAAAGTAAAATGACATGGAAAGCATATAAAATCTATAAAGGGGGAAAGGAAAAAGGGGGTAAAGGAGGTTTGTGGGCGAGGGGGTTGGGCTTCCAGCAAGCATGCATGAGCGTGTTTGATAGGAGTGAATGGAGACGAATGATACTTGGGACCTGACGATTGTTGGAGGGGGAGCAGGGAATATTTAGTGAAGGGATTCAGGAAACCGGTTATTTTCTATAGTCGGACTTGAGTCCTGGGAAAAGGGAAGGGGTTTGGGATATTGGCAGTTTGGAGGATATGTTGTTTTATCTTATACGATATGCTTCAAACGTTGTATTCTGAGCACCTCTGCAAAAGCAGTGATAATGTTGAGTGTGGGTGAAAGTGTTGAATGATGATGAAAGTATTTTCTTTTGGGGATTTTCTTTCTTTTTTTTTGGTCACCCTGCCTCGGTGGGAGACGGCCGACTTGTTGAAAAAAAAAAAAAAAAAAATATATATATATATATATATATATATTATAAATATATATCAATGAATGATAATATATATATATATTATATATATAATATATATATATATATTATATATTATATATAATATATATATATATATATATATAAATTTTTTTGCAAGTATCGCAAACCAAGCAATACAGGATGCAAAACAGCCACGGGGAGGAGTAGAATGATAGCTCTAGACCTGTCGTGTTGCAATCAACACATCAGGAGCTTATAAAATTGCAGAAAAGAAGAGGATGTCCAAGCAGGTACATTCCCAAAGGACATCTTCACTGGACATCTTCATGTTTATTTATTTATTTATTTTTGCACGTCATCTGTCTCCTACCAAGGTGGGGTAACCCAAAAGAAGAAGAAATCCATTCACTATCACTCATTCAATAACTGTCTTGCCAGAAGTTTGCAGGTATCACAATTCAAATGATCCTCAGAACTGCAACATTGTCTCTCCTCCTTCAGGGTGCAGGCACTGTACTTCCCTTCTCCAAGACTTACATCTGGCTAGCTGGTATTTTGAGCCCTTTAATAAATGTTACCTTGTTTACACTCCAACAGTACATCAAGCCATAAAAACTTAACTCCATTAAATCTGATCTAACATGCTAACACAAGCTTGTACAGGTCCTCCATCACAAATCCGGCATCATTGGGACCTGTAGTGTGCTGGATTACTGAGTTTGCTGGATTACAGAGTGGTTAGGTTAGAATGCACTTAATAAAATTAACCAACTTGACTTACACGAAGTTCATTGAACATCGGCAAAAATCGAACATTTCCGCTACTTTGAGCTCAATTTCGAGATACTTTTCATCATGAAAGCAATCAAAATCATGTCTATTTCTGTAATATATCTTTCATTTTATCAAATGAGTCCAAAAAAATGAGAATACAATCATAAAAACCATATGAAAATATACTGCAAAGAGGCAGCTAATGGCTGAAAAGTGAACTCCCTTATTTATTGTTCGTCTTTTTTATTTTTGTTGTACGTTAAGAAGCATCTTTCCATCATACATTCCCAAGTTTCAATGAGATAACCCAACAAACAACCAAGAAAAAAAAATATTTACCAAAAACCATATATGGCAAGCCCAAGCCAGGTACTGGAAATAAGTCACTTTGTCTGACTTTTCTGGGTTATCCCAGGTTCTCTATACATACACTGCTATGTATGATAATCTATGTAACTGTATTTGTGTATACCTGAATAAACTTATTTACTTCTAGTCTGTCAACTGAGTACAAGAAACCGCCCATTTACTTATTTCAACTACCGAATAAAGTGGTCAGAAATTGGCAATTTGGCCGATTTCACACAAATTTCAACAGATGCCAATTTCAAAATAGGGTCCAGAATAAATACGTAATACAGACATTCCTGGCACTAAAATAACATTTTCTCTGTTCATTAGTCATGGCTCCAGACCCCTCTTATATTACTCTTGCTTACCATTTGGAATTTTTATTCACAAAAAAGTAGAAGATTTACTGTTATGCAGACTAGTGCATTATTGTAATAATTGTGTAAATAATGTCAACCCATTCTTGACTCCGTATTGGACGGTGACATCATTTGTTTACTCTTGAGCTTTGCTAAAGAATAGAACATTTTTGCTACTGTGAGTGCAATTTCAATTTACTTTTCATCATGAAAGCAATCAAAATCATATCTATTTCTGTAATATATCTTTCATTCTATCAAATGAGACCGAAAAAATGAGAATATAACCATAAAATCCATACAAAAATATACCGCTAAGCGGCCGCTAATGGCTGAAGTGAACTCTGCTATTTATGGTCTGATTTTTTTCATTTTTGGTGTACGTTAAGAAGTATCTTTCCATCATACATTGCCCAAGTTTGAATAAGATAACCCAACAAACAACTGAGAAAATAATAATAATAATAGTGTAATAATAATAATTTACTACACGTACATGTACATGGGATACAGACGTAGCTGACATCAGTGACATACTACTATATAGAAAGCCGCTTGTTATGCAGAGTATTTCAAGAAAATTAGGTCAGTGTCCCAGGATAACACCCATACTAGTCGGCTAACACCCAGGTACCCATTTACTGATGAGTAAACATAGACAACAGGTGTAAAAAAAACGCCTAATGTTTCTACCCTGGCTGGGAATTGAATATTTACCAAAAATCATATATGGCTAACCCAAGCCAGGTACTAAAAATAAGCCACGTTGACTTTTTTGGGTTATCATAGGTTCTCTACTCACATGCTGCGTGATAATCTATATAGAGAAAATAACTTTTTTGTTTCAGGTTTATGGTGCAGTACGAGTGTATATCACAGTTAGCCCTGTGGTACACTATTTTCTCTAATATAAGCCACCAAGACAGGGATAGGAGAATGGTACTTGTATACCATATCCTCTTCATACCTCTGTCGAACTGCTCGGTATTATGCCGAATATTATTCATTCTGGTGTATTTAACATGTTTTATGTTATTTATGTAGTTTATTATGTCATATTAGATCAATTGTGATAAGCAAATAAGCTGTAGTGTTGATATTAGCATAATAATAAAGCATATTCTCCTGCTTCATGAGACTGAGTTCATGGCAACTGACAGTGGCTTCAAAGCCACCTTATCTTTAATGGATAATGTACTGTGTAGGTGCTTTACATAATGAGAAGCATTTCTTTTATTCATTGGAACCATGGCTAGGGCTAAAAGTAAGCAGGTTAAAACAATAAATGGGGAAAAAGAAATTGGAATGACTTATGCAGCAAGTAGCGCCACCAAACAGTACCAACAGGTTTTTGTGGCGACCCTGGAAATTTGAAATTATGCTAGCCAAAATTAGTGCCGAATAACTGAAGGAACTGAATAACTGATTGCCGGATTTGTGATGGCGGACCTGTATATATATACCTAGACCATGATTCAAGTAGATTCCTTAGGCAATAATAGTGTGTGTGTCATGTAGTGTTTATTTCAGGTGATTAAAGTGGGTATGAAGTATACGTTGGGTGTTAGATGTACAGTGGGTGTCATCCATACAGAAGATACCTCTGGTAACAAAATGGGTGTTAGATATACAGTACATATGTGAAATTTTACAGGCTGTTCTGTGAATTAATATGCCTAAGTTTTTTGTTATTTCAAATTCTTAACAGTGTGTTTTATTGTGGTATGTAGAACAACATTCAGTCACAAGAGTTTATAATGCAGTGAATTATCTAAATTACTTTGTTCATCACCCGTATCCTCAGGTAATGATTATTATAATCATGGGGAAGCATTAAACCTGTAGGACTCGTGTACTGCTTGGAAAATAGGAGGCAGTTTGGTTTGCTTCAAGGCAGTGGAGGGTTGTCCCAATTACTTGGATCAAGAGTCACCAGTGTCATAGGACTCCTTTGAAAGGCCTCATGAGGAGCATAATGCCAACAAAGGGATAGTATGCCAATTAAATTTTACAAATATATTCTGTACTGTTGTCAGTTTTTGATGATTTTATGAATTTTTTCTAATTTCATGTCTGTACAACCAGGAGCACAGCCGACACACCTTATTTTGTGGCACTCAGGTGATTCAGACACGCTTCTATGGAGGAGAGCGAGTTGTGGCGGTGGTGGTGCGAACTGGATTTTATACAAGCAAGGGTTCACTAGTCCGTTCCATTATGTATCCTCCTCCAGTGGACTTCAAATTCCAACAAGACTCTTACAAATTTGTTGGAGTTCTGGCAGGAATAGCATCTGTTGGTTTCTTATACACAGTTATTACCAAGGTAATGCCAGTACAACAGTTTTATTGTTAAACTCTCTATGGAACTTAAAGTTCTTTTTTTATATTTTGGGAAATCTTAAATTTAAAGTCCAAGTATTATGATTTTATAGTGTTATTTTCTGATTGTTTCAGTATATGCGTGGATTAGCGGTGTCTGCAATTGCTCTAGACTCTTTGGATCTTATCACTATTGTCATCCCTCCTGCACTACCTATGGCCATGACGGTAAGTTTCTTTATATAAGAATTTTTAAAAATATACTATGTCATCCTGGCATTTGACTCATTTTGCACCTCCCTGGGACTGTGTTCTCCCAGCCTTACTGTTCTTGTATCTCGGTATTCATTTTATACGTATTTTATGTATTTTGTGTCACATCTTGGTAGTTAAATGAACTCAATAGTAATGTGAAATTAAAAGCTAATGAATAAACAGTTTATGATAGCTGAAACATCTTATGGAGGCTGAAGTTTATGACAGCTGAAACATCTTAGGGAGGCTGAAGTTTATGATAGCTGAAACATCATTCTAGGGAGATTGAAAGTTATTAAGGTAACTGAAATAACTTTCTAGGAAGGTTGAAGTATATTATTATAGCTGAAGCGTCTTACTAGGGAAGCTGAAGTTTATTATTAGAGCTGAAACATCTTACTAGGGAGGCTGAAGTTTATTATATAGCTGAAACATTTACTAGGGAAGCTGAAGCTTATTATTATAGCTGAAACATCTTACTAGGGAAGCTGAAGCTTATTATTAAGCTGAAACATCTTACTAGGGAAGCTGAAGCTTATTATTATAGCTGAAACATCTTACTAGGGAAGCTGAAGTTTATTATTAGAGCTGAAACATCTTACTAGGGAAGCTGAAGTTTATTATTATAGCTGAAACATCTTACTAGGGAAGCTGAAGCTTATTATTATAGCTGAAACATCTTACTAGGGAAGCTGAAGCTTATTATTATAGCTGAAACATCTTATAGGGAAGCTGAAGCTTATTATTATAACTGAAACATCTTACTAGGGAAGCTGAAGTTTATTATTAGAGCTGAAACATCTTACTAGGGAAGCTGAAGCTTATTATTAGAGCTGAAACATCTTACTAGGGAGGCTGAAGCTTATTATTAGAGCTGAAACATCTTACTAGGGAGGCTGAAGTTTATTATTAGAGCTGAAACATCTTACTAGGGAAGCTGAAGCTTATTATTAGAGCTGAAACATCTTACTAGGGAAGCTGAAGTTTATTATTAGAGCTGAAACATCTTACTAGGGAAGCTGAAGTTTATTATTAGAGCTGAAACATCTTACTAGGGAGGCTGAAGCTTATTATTAGAGCTGAAACATCTTACTAGGGAAGCTGAAGTTTATTATTAGAGCTGAAACATCTTACTAGGGAAGCTGAAGCTTATTATTAGAGCTGAAACATCTTACTAGGGAAGCTGAAGTTTATTATTAGAGCTGAAACATCTTACTAGGGAGGCTGAAGTTTATTATTAGAGCTGAAGCATCTTACTAGGGAAGCTGAAGCTTATTATTAGAGCTGAAACATCTTACTAGGGAAGCTGAAGCTTATTATTAGAGCTGAAACATCTTACTAGGAAAGCTGAAGCTTATTATTATAGCTGATGCATCTTACTAGGGAAGCTGAAGCTTATTATTAGAGCTGAAACATCTTACTAGGGAAGCTGAAGTTTATTATTAGAGCTGAAACATCTTACTATGGAAGCTGAAGCTTATTATTAGAGCTGAAGTGTCTTACTAGGGAAGCTGAAGCTTATTATTAGAGCTGAAACATCTTACTAGGGAAGCTGAAGCTTATTATTAGAGCTGAAACATCTTACTAGGGAAGCTGAAGTTTATTATTAGAGCTGAAACATCTTACTAGGGAAGCTGAAGTTTATTATTAGAGCTGAAACATCTTACTAGGGAAGCTGAAGCTTATTATTATAGCTGATGCATCTTACTAGGGAAGCTGAAGCTTATTATTATAGCTGATGCACCTTACTAAGGAAACTGAAGTTTATTATTAGAGCTGAAACATCTGGAACTTCCTAGGTATGCACATTAGATTTGTTTCACCTTGTATGAATATTCTATCTCTTAATTAGAAAATTCGTCATTCTTGTCATCTTCGTGCCTGGTCATGGTTCTAGCATGGCAAAAATATGTAAATATATATCTCTGATCTAATTGTTTTTGTAATTTAGTAGATAAAGTGATTCGTAATACGTATAATAGCTCGGTATCTATAGATAATGGTGTTTCTCTGGTTCATTGTACAATATAATACAATTTTTATTTCTTTATGCAAAATAAATACTGTAGATTATGCATAATAAAACATTGGTAGGCACAAAAGAAAACCACTAATCATGTATATTGCATTTTGGGCAAACTAAAGGCTAAAGGGAAATTTGATCTACAGATTCCCTGATACAACTCTTAGTTACATTAAAAAGGAATTCATCATCACCATTATACTACAATATTTTTTTTTATTAGGAAAACCTAGGATACCATTCAAAATTATGACATAAGACAGTTTCATAAAATTTATTTCAAAGATAGACTTTTGAGGTTTTACTTTGCTCATTTTTCTAGTATAAATTTATAATCCTGTTTTTCTTTCAGGTTGGAATCTTGTATGCTCTCCAGAGGCTGAAGAACCATAAAATTTTTTGCATATCACCTCGCTCCATAAACATATCTGGAGTTTTGAACTGCATCTGTTTTGATAAGGTAAACAATAACATTTTAATAATGTTGGTAGAATTATTGACAACATGCAAGGTACAAGGGCACATTCAACTAATATGACAGTTTATTGAGGCAATGTTTTGCCCTCCATGATCTTTGTTCAGTCTGTAATGGTTTGACAAAGTTCCTGGAGAGCAAAATGTTGCCACAACAAATATCACATTAGTTGTACATGTCTGCTTTTGCCTAACAGTAAAATTTTAAATATCTATGAATTTTGTGTACTTTAAAATAATTTCTCTTGCAAATATAAGATATTTTAGTATTTTCTTGTATGACCAGTTGAATATGATGGAGTAAAGTTATTTAAAAACCAAACATAAATGTTATTAAAATAGTTGATAGCAAGTGCTTGGCCAATCAGGTTTTGTACGGATGAAATGTGCCTGTTCCATCCCCATTTATTTTGAAATGGGATGAATTTACAGTGGAACCCTCTTGTTTTTGTATGCCCTAGTCTGTATGTAAAACTATAGTTATTCTCTATAAAATATATTTTTTGTTAATATTTCCCATAAGAAATAATGTAAATCCAATTAATCCATTCCAGACACCCAAAAATATTAACAAAAAATACATTTTATAGAGAATAACTATAGTTTTACATACAGACTAGGGCATTATGAAAACCGAGGCTCCACTGTATATTTATTCATGGAGAAGCACCGAACCTGTAGGAGGTATACTACCTGGGGAATGGAAGGTAATCAGGTTTGATCCAAGGGAGGGAAGGGTAGTTCCAATTTTTTGGATCAACAACCCTTCAGTATGAAGCTTTCAGATGTATGTATTGTATACACACATACTGTATATATAAGTAAATTAAGAGTCACTAAAGATAAATAATGTATTTATGCAGAAAATGCAGCAGGTGTTACTTGGGCCAAATATAAAATGTAAGAGACAAAAGGCCTAAACAAAATTCATAGTGATAGTTGGCAATAGTGCAGAGTTTCAGGTATGTCTTGTTACTTCTACTTACACTTGGGTCACACAGCACTTGCATGTACAAGCATATATATACACACACCCCGCTGGGTTTTCTTCTATTTTCTTACTAGTTCTTGTTTTTGTTTATTTCCTCTCATCTCCATGGGGGAAGTGGAACAGAATTCTTCCTCCATAAGCCATGCATGTTGTAAGAGGTGACTGACTTGCCAGGAACAAGGGGCTAGTAACTCCTTCTCCTGTATACATTACTAAAGTTAAAAAGAGAAACTTTTGTTTGTTTTTCTTTTTGGAACACCCTACTTCAGTGGGATACGGCTAGTTTGTTGAAAGAAAGAGGAAGAAATATTTATGCATCACACAATAGGTTGAGCAGATTTTTTTATTTATATTGTAAGTTTACTTAGGTTTATTTATTCCTCGGAGTTAGTTGGTAGATAAATTAAATTGTAGACACTATAATGGTGATAATTTGAAAATAAAGTGAAAGTATATAATAGCACACTATTGCTAACAAATTCCTGTTATAGTACAATGATGTATGGAGATCATGTCTATTAATAATAGTTTGCTATCATAGATATATTAAATAAGATATAAGAATGTTTGATAAATTAAGTATTTATTTTTTGAAGACTGGCACTCTAACTGAGGATGGTCTGGACATGCGAGGGGTAGTGCCAGTGGCCCAGTCACTGGGCAAGCAGGTCCAACTGACTCAGATAACATCTCCAGCCACACTCCCTCATGACCATCTATTGTATGCAATGGCTACTTGTCACTCCATTACCATTATCAACTTGCAACAGGTAACTAAATCAGTGTGTTCCTCTGAAACTGCTTAGCCATCATATATATTATTTTGTGATAAATATGACTAGTAACCCATGCTTCTCATTTTCACTTGTACTTTGTTAAATAGTTTTGGAAGACAACAGAACTCACTCAGTGAGAGTTGTTTGTGTAATTGGTTTATAATTGTGCTTGTTAAATATATACAGTATTAACTAAAGAAAGTGCAATAAACACTTGTCAGTGCTCATTAACCTTTTGAGGGTTTCGGACGTACTAGTACGGCTTACGACCCAGGGTTTTTGACGTACTAGTACGCCTAAATTCTAGGGCCCTCAAATCTAGTGGGAGAAAGCTGGTAGGCCTTCATATGAAATAATGGGTCTATGTGGTCAGTGTGCACAGTCTAAAAAAAATCCTGCAGCACACAGTGCATAATGAGAAAAAAAAAACTTTGACCATTTTTTTGGAATAAAACAGCGACTTTGCACTGTATTTTCGTATGGTATTTATTGTTGTATTCTAGTTTTCTTGGTCTCATTTTATAGAATGGAAGACATATTACAGAAATTGAGATGATTTTGACTGATTTTACAATGAAAGGTACCTTGAAATTGAGCTCAGAGTAGCAGAAATGTTTGATTTTTACCAAATTTCAAAAGTAAACAAATCGTGCCAAGCGTGCAATACACGTCAACTGGTGAGTCTAATATTCTTTCACAAGTGCACCAATAATATTTATACCATTTTTTACACTAATGCAGTAGTCTGCATAACAGTAAATCTTATATTTTTTGTGAGAATAAAAATTCAAAGTGGAAAGCAAAATAATATAAGAAGGGCCTTGAGACGTGACTAATGACCAGAGGAAATGTCATTTTAGTGCCAGGAATGTCTTTCTTGTTTATTCTGGACCCTATTCGGAAATTGGCATCTTTTGAAATTTGTGTGAAATTGGCAAAATTGCTAAATTCTGACCACTGTACTGGATAGTTGAATTTCATAAATGGGTGGTTTCTTGCACCCATTCGATAGAAAAAATGGAGTTCTAGTGAAATATTCATGTTTTTTGTCGACTAGTATACAGTGGAATTGGCCGAAAATGGGGCTCAAAGTGGGCAAAATCGCCAATGCGTAAACATCGCCGAGACCGCTAACTTTGCGAGAGCATAATTTCCGTAAGTTTTCCATCAAATTTCAAACTTTTGGTGTCCTTATGATCGGGAAAAGATTCTCTATCTTTTCATAAGAGAAAATAATTTTTTTTTTTTTTAAATTTGGCCGACCCTGAGAACGAGTTTCGGAGAGGGCCTGTCGACCCTCAAAGGGTTAATAGCCCACATGGAGACAGAAACTCAGAATATTAATTGGTTGTATATTTTGACCCCTTGCTGGGGTCCTCTTCAGATTCACAAATGTAAGAACATGAATTTATAGGAAGGTTGTGCCTCTCAGCCATGCAGGTGAGCATGCAGCTGATGCTGCATGCTCACCTGCATGGGGGTCAAAATACACAACAGGGGGTCAAAATACACATATCAGTTAATTTTCTGAGTTTTGTGTCTTTACATGGCTTATTATTAAGTATGGATATACAATATTGTAAATGTTGAAATATGGGTAATTCTTTTTTATTGATGGTTGACTGACAGTTTGATAAGCAACTAGTAGAACTTTATAAAACTCATTTACTATAATGACACTCTTAAATTCAAAATAGAACAAACAGTTATTGCAACACCTTCCCTGACTGAAAATTTACCACCCATCTACCAGGCAAAAAAACACGAACACAATGCAAGACTCATGTGCTGGGTGGTGGGAGGTGACGTGAACAGGCTTCCTAATTAACGTTTTGAAACACTTAGGTATACTTCATGGTGGCTCTCGTATGTGCGTTTCTTCTGTTATGCTTTAATATTATGTAGTATAGTGTAACTCAGCCCACATGCCTTTCAGAAGAGCATTAAGTGATAATGCAGTGTTGCAGACACTAAGAGAAAGATCACATTTTGCCTCCATCTTAAAAGTGTATTGTGTCTCATGTTTTGAACTTTTCTAAGACCATGCACGAATGTTTAGGGGATATACAGTGGACCCCCGGTTTATGATATTATTTCATTCCAGAAGTATGTTCAGGTGCCAGTACTGACCGAATTTGTTCCCATAAGGAATACTGTGAATTAGATTAGTCCATTTCAGACCCCCAAACATGCACATACAAATGCACTTACATAAATTCACTTACATAATTGGTCGCATTGGGAGCTGATCGTAAACCGGGGGTCCCCTGTAGTTGTAATGCTGTTCTGTGTTTATATACATATATGGTTACTTCAGATTAAGTAAGTTCTGTTAGTAGTATCACTATATTTACAAGAGTGTTAAAAAGCTTGTTCTGTTGCTTGTACTACAAATATACTAAAAAATAGACTTTTTACTCGCCTGTAGAGGCTACAAGTACAGTGGTACCCCGAGTTTCGTACAGCTCCCAACTCGAACAGTTATGTAAGTGTATTATTGTTAGTGCTTTTGTAAGTGTATTTTTGGAGGTCTGAAATGAACTAATCTAATTTACATTATTCCTTACGGATTCGTTCAGTAACGTCACTCGAACAGCTTTCTGGAATGAATTATGTATGAAACTCGGGGTACCACTGTATTTTTCATTCTTGAGCCATCCTACGTTAGGTTTTGATCTTTTAACTATTGAGTAAAAGTCATCTTTACTAATTTAACTATGGTAATTAATAATCAATCCTGATTTTTTGTAATTCTTGTTTTAACAGGTGGGTGATCCTTTGGATCTAAAAATGTTTGAGAGTACTGGCTGGACTTTGGATGAACCAGGTTTGGATGACACCAATAAATATGACATGATGATGCCATCTGTAGTGCGTCCGAGTGCCCCTGATGTTGTCATCAGCAATGAAAATGTAGAAACAGAAGTAAGATATTTCCCATTTTTTGTTTTATTATGAATTTATTGATTAGGGTTTGATCACTTGATTAAGTCCAATCACTGGAACAGTGCCTATATACTATAAGTATTTTCCTTTGATTATGTAAGTGTATAGCAGTTGTCCTGGCTTCATGAAGACTAGAAATAGTAAATACTAGGGTTACTTGCTTTGTTGACAATATGGAATTTTTTTGAGTTTTAAGGTTTAAGTATTAATGGTAAATAATATTCAAGAAAATTTAAATATAATTTCTGCCCATTATTTATTTAAGATATTGTATATCTCCATCATAATTTATGAATTTTGTTTCAGCCACCACTAGAACTAGGAATACTTCGTCAGTTTCCTTTCTCCTCCAGCTTACAACGTATGTCTGTCATTACTCGACGACTTGGTGCTCCAAACTTTGAGCTTTACTGTAAAGGCTCTCCAGAGGTGAGTTACAAAAGGCAGTCCTGTTCTTTACACATACGTATTGTATTTTTGTTTATTTCAGTGCAAGTACAGGTACAGCACCAGTGTTCTAGAAACAGATGGTCTGGTACTTCTTATAGTCCGGACAAAGGTATGAGGGTGGCCACAAATGATGTGTGTAACAAGCTCACTTATATTGTTTACACTGGATTTGTTGGTGATTCCTCGATTTTTGTGTGATTCTTAGTATATTTTGCTAACATTTAACCCTGACTATGGATAAGGTTAATAACATATTTACTTGTCAGTAGAGCAAACCCTTGATATAACACTTTTAAAAATTATGAGCAAACTCTACTCTGTAAATTGCACTTTTAAAACCCTTAAACTGTCCAAACTTAGATCTATGTTATTACCACTAGTGCTCCAAACGTAGATTAACGTTTTATTTTTCCTGCCTCCAAATTTCGCATGATTGGCCTGAGATGCCTAGTCAGTATAGAATAGGTCCTAACACTCAGTGTTTGCAGTATTAAAAAAAAGACTGGGACCACTTAGTACCTTGTGGGAGCACCAGTTCAACTGAGCGCCAGCTAGAGGAAATAGCATGGCAAACACCAGGGATTCACTGATGTTATGTCATATTAGCTCTCCCCGTTTAAGAGGAAAGTGATGTTGACCCCAAGTTTAGTGACTTTGAGATAGATGTGGCCACAAGTGGTTGAGGAAATATCAAAAACCTCGATAATAACCCATTCACAACATATATGCAACATCCTTTCATTTTTGATACCACTGGTAGTGTCATCCTGCCAGAATGTCCTATAACCTATTCCCTAAGTCAAGAGAAATGATTCTGGAACATGTGTAACACGTATTTGGCTGGCTGACTGACTGACTTTGGTTGTCTGTCTGTATCTGTCTCTGTCTATCTCTGTCTGTCTGTCTATCTGTCTGTCTGTATCTCTCTCACAGGTACACATAAGTACAGTTATCATACATAATGTAAATTACCTAGGATAACCCAAAAAATCCAGATAGAGTGCTATACTGTGCTTGTAGATATAAGGCATATTAAGTATGACTGGCATGTAAGACGCATTTTCACTTGAACAGGAATCAGACGTGATGACTCTCCATCGTGTGTAATACCTGTTGGTTCATGAGCTGCTCTCTGAGACAGAGAGACAAGCAGACAGACAGAGACACACAGGCAGACAGAAAAACGGAGACACACAGGCAGACAGAATGACAGACACACAGGCAGACAGAAAGACAGAGACACACAGAAAGACAGAGACACACAGGCATACAGAGAGAGAGAGATCAGCAGACAAAGCTAGACAGACAGACACATTTATGTGTAACAGTGAAAACAAATAAAGCCAAGGTTCCCTGCAGCAGTGCTCGATCATCAAGTGTCACTCCACTGCTGCACTGTCAGCAGTGGAGTGACACTCGTCTTACACTGTGCTTCAAGGAGTTTCTAAATACTCCAGCATGTCTAAAACATTGCTGAAACCTATAAATACAGTGGACCCCCGCATAACGATCACCTCCGAATGCGACCAATTATGTAAGTGTATTTATGTAAGTGCGTTTGTATGTGTATGTTTGGGGGTCTGAAATGGACTAATCTACTTCACAATATTCCTTAAGGGAACAAATTCGGTCAGTACTGGCACCTGAACATACTTCTGAATTGAAAAAATATCGTTAACAGGGGGTCCACTATACTTTTTTTTTTTTTTTCCAACAAGTTGGCCGTTTCCCACCGAGGCAGGGTGACCCAAAAAAGAAAGAAAATCCCCAAAAAGAAAATGCTTTCATCATCATTCAACACTTTCACCACACTCACACATGATCACTGTTTTTGCAGAGGTGCTCAGAATACAACAGTTTAGAAGCATATACGTATAAAGATACACAACATATCCCTCCAAACTGCCAATATCGCAAACCCGTCCTTTAAAGTGCAGGCATTGTACTTCCCATTTCCAGGACTCAAGTCCGACTATATGAAAATAACCGGTTTCCCTGAATCCCTTCACTAAATATTACCCTGCTCACACTCCAACAGATCGTCAGGTCCCAAGTACCATTCATCTCCATTCACTCCTATCTAACACGCTCACGCACGCTTGCTGGAAGTCTAAGCCCCTTGCCCACAAAACCTTTACCCCCTCTCTCCAACCCTTTCGAGGACGACCCCTACCTTGCCTTCCTTCCCCTATAGATTTATATGCTTTCCATGTCATTCTACTTTGATCCATTCTCTCTAAATGACCAAACCACCTCAAGAACCCCTCTTCTGCCCTCTGACTAATACTTTTATTAACTCCACACCTTTTCCTAATTTCCACACTCCGAATTTTCTGCATAATATTTACACCACACATTGCCCTTAGACAGGACATCTCCACTACCTCCAACCGTCTCCTCGCTGCTGCATTTACCACCCAAGCTTCACACCCATATAAGAGTGTTGGTACTACTATACTTTCATACATTCCCTTTTTTGCCTCCATAGATAACGTTTTTTGACTCCACATATACCTCAATGCACCACTCACCTTTTTTCCCTCATCAATTCTATGATTAACCTCATCCTTCATAAATCCATCCGCCGACACGTCAACTCCCAAGTATCTGAAAACATTTACTTCTTCCATACTCCTCCTCCCATTTGATATCCAATTTTTCTTTATCTAATCATTTGATACCCTCATCACCTTACTCTTTTCTATGTTCACTTTCAACTTTCTACCTTTACACACATTCCCAAACTCATCCACTAACCTTTGCAATTTTTCTTTAGAATCTCCATAAGCACAGTATCATCAGCAAAAAGTAAACTGTGTTAATTCCCATTTTGAATTTGATTCCCCATAATTTAATCCCACCCTCTCCTGAAACCCTAGCATTTACTTCTTTTACAACCCCATCTATAAATATATTAAACAACCATGGTGACATTACACATCCCTGTCTACGACCTACTTTTACCGGGAAGTATTCTTCCTCTCTTCTACACACCTAACCTGAGCCTCACTATCCTCATAAAAAATCTCTTTACAGCATTTAGTAACTTACCACCTATTCCATATACTTGCAACATCTGCCACATTGCTCCCCTATCCACTCTATCATGTGCTTTTCTAATCCATAAATGCAATAAAAACTTCCCTACCTTTATCTAAATTACTGTTCATATATGCTTCAATGTAAACACTTGATCTACATATCCCCTACCCACTCTGAAACCTCCTTGCTCATCCGCAATCCTACATTCTGTCTTACCTCTAATTCTTTCAATTATAACCCTATCATACACTTTTCCTGGTATACTCAATAAACTTATTCCTCTATAATTTTTACAATCTCTTTTGTCCCCTTTCCCTTTATATAAAGGGACTATACATGCTCTCCACCAATCCCTAGGTACCTTCCCCTCTTTCATACATTTATTAACCCTTTCAGGGTCCGTCCCGTAGATCTACGGCTTTACGTTCAGGGTCCAAACCGTAGATCTACGCCATGAGCTCAGCTCACTCTGATAAACTGTGAGTGGTACATTTGGGCCTAGATATGAGAGAATACATCTATGTGGTATGTGTGCACCACATAAAACAGATCCTGCAGCACACTGTGTATAATGAGAGAAAAAAAATGAAATCATGATTTTTCGATTAAAACAGCAACTTTGCAGTGTTTTTTCGTATGTTTTTTATAGTTGTATTTGCGATTTTTTGGTCTCATTTGATAGAATGGAAGACATATTACAGAAATAGAGATGATTTTGATTGGTTTTAGCACTGGAAATGGCTTGAAACTGAGCTCAAAGTAGCAGAAATGTTAAATTTTGCCGATTATTCAAGAGTAAACAAACGACCTCACACATCTAATACACGTCAGCTGGTGGGTCTAATATACATTCTTAAATATGGTGATGATATTTATACAATTATTACAGTATTGCATAACAGTAAATCTTCTATTTTTTGGTGTGAATAAAAATTCATTATGTGAGTAAAAATATCAAAATGGAATTTATTTGTAAAGCCTCAAAACATAACTATGAACAGAGGAAATGTTAGTTTAGTGCCAGGCATGCCTACATTGTTCATTCTGGACCCTATTTTGAAATTGGAATATTTTGAACTTTGTGTTAAATTGGCAAATTAACAATTTCCGATCACTTTATTTTGTAGTTGAAACAGTTGACTTGGCGATTTCTTGTGCTCAATCGATAGAATAGAAGTAATACTAGTGAAATAGCTAAGAATTTGGTTGATTGGAATAATGTAATTGGCCTAAAATGGAGTCAAAGTCGGCAAAATCGCCGATTCGTAAATATCGCTGACACATCAAAATTCGCGAGAGCATAATTTCGTCAATTTTCCACCAAATTTCGTACTTTTTGTTTTATTACCTTCACAAAAAGATTCTCTACGATTTCATAAGAGAAAATAAAAAATTTTTTTTTTTAAATTCTTGGACACTGGTGCGTGACTCCAGATTTGGGCCTTGGACCCTGAAAGGGTTAACAAAAGTACCAACCACTCCAACACTATATCCCCCCCTGCTTTTAACATTTCCGTCATGATCCCATCAGTTTCAGCTGCTTTACCCCCTTTCATTCTACGTAATGCCTCACGTACCTCCCCCACACTTACATTCTGCTCTTCTTCACTCCTAAAAGATGGTATACCTCCCTGACCAGTGCATGAAATTACCACCTCCCTTTCTTCCTCAACATTTAAAAGTTCTCAAAATTTTTTCTCCCCATTACCAAAAAATACCTCCCCCCCCCCCAAAATTTTTACTAATCCCCTACTCTGTTTTTAACTGAAAAATTTCCATATTTTCCCTAGGCTTTCTTAACTTTTTTAACTCACTCCAAAAATTTTTTCTTTTTTTTCATTAAAATTTCTTGCAGTGCCTCTCCCACTCTATCATTGTTCTCCTTTTGCACTCTCTCACCACTCTCTTCACCTTTTTTTTAAACTGTCCATTTACTCTGCTTTTCTTAAAACCCTTTTTCTTTTTTAAAAACCTCCCCAAAAAACTAACTTTTTTCTTTTATCACCCCCCTTTACTTAATCATTCCCCCAATAAACCCTTTTTCCCCTGCCCCCCCCCTCCTAAAACCAAAAATTTTCTCCCCCACTTTCTAATACTGAATTTTTTAAAATTTTCCCAACCCTCTTCAACCCCCCCCCCTACTTCTTTGCACTACCCCACCTTTTTTGCCATCATTTCGTTATATTCCCCCAAAATTCCCCTCTCTTATTTTTTTACACTTTCCCCCTTTCCCTCTTTCTTTTTGTTGCCACCTTCCCCTTTTCCCATCTCCCTCTTCCCTCTAACTGTAGTTTACAACTAAATAATGATCCGTTATGTGGTTGCCCCTCTTTAAACATTTTAAAAACCCGGGAAACCCTCCCTTTTTAAAACCTTTTTTTCCCCCAATACATAATCAAACCCAAATCTTTCATTACGTGCTACATTTTTCCTTGTTTATTTTTTTATCCTCTTTTTAAAAAAAATATGTATTACTTATTCCCAAAAAATCCCCTTTCTACACATAGTTTCAATTAAAGGCTCCCCATTTCTTTTCCCCCTGGCACCCCAAATTTACCTACTACCCCCTCTAACATTTTTACCCCTTTAGCATTAAAAACCCCCAACCACATTCCCTTTCACAATTGATTCAAAACCCCCCACGCATTCACAAAAATTTTCCCCAAAATCTCTCTCTCTTTTCCCTCTACACTTTTTTCTTTCCAGGTCCCATACACCACTTACTAAAAACCCACTTTTCACACCCAAATCTTTATTTTACCCCACATAACCCTTAAAATTAATACATTTATGTCCCTCTTTTCCTGCCATAGCTTATCCTTCAACATTATTGTACCCCTTTTTTTAGCTCTAACTCTATTTAAAAACCCCTGAACCAAATTCCCTTTTATTCCTTCCTTTTGAAACTCTCGCCCCCCCCTTAAAGTTTGTTTAAATTAAAGAAAGGACATCCCCCTTCTTCTCATTCATAACATCCAAAATTTCCATCTCTTTCTTATCATTTGCAAAAAACCCACGACTTTTCGACTTCCCACTTTGACAATTTTCTTTTCTTTTTCTTTTTAGAAATTTTACAGGAATGGGGTTACTAGCCTTTGTTCCGGCATTTTGTTGACTTTTACAACACCCCTTTTGGCTTAGGGAAAGGAAAAGGTTCTTTTTCCCACTTCCCATGGTTTTTAAAAGGGAAAGAAATAAGACCAAGAACTATTAAGAAAAAATCAAAAAAAAACTCAGATGATTTGGTTAAATAAACTTTGTACATGTATGTGTGTGGGGCCCTAAGTGTAATTTAGAAGTAGAAAGGGAACATACCTGTAATTTTGAAATTTTTTAATGAGACAGACAAAAAGAAACCAGCAACCCTACCTCAGTAAAACAATTACAGGTTTTGTTTTAAAATTACTTGGCAGGACGGTATTTTCCTCCCTGGATGGTTGCTTTTCTACCAACCTTCTACTTTTAAATACTTTGTAAAAATTTTAAAAATAAAAATTAAATGCCCAAAGGGCGGGGGAAAAATGTTCCCCTTTGTGGGTTTTGGGTTTTGGGTTTGACTATTTGAGTATATTTCGGGTCCCTTTAAAAATTTAGGCCCCAGAACAAAGATTGGTTATGAAATCACAAAAAACTATTATGTTTTGTAATTATCAGACCCAAAAAAAATTATATAAATTAAAAAAAAAAATGAGAAAAAAAAAGGTTATTGGAAAAGTTTTTTTGAAAGTTTAGGGCTCCTTTTTTCCCATAAGGTGGGCTTCCAGTCCCCTTTTTGCTTTGTTATATTTGATAATTTACTGACCCAAAATTTTTTTTTTTTTGGTCTTATTACCCCCACAAAATTTTTAAACCCTCTTTAATTTATTTTTTGTTTTTCAAAATATTTTTGGGGGCGGGTGGCGTTTAAAACATAATCTACGTTTGGGCAGTTTAAGGGTTTTAAATTTCCAAATTTTTTTCACTGTTTATTGCCAAAATTTTCTTTTAAGTTTTTTGTACAGTACTTTATTTAAGGGGGGGTACAATAGCTAATTTAGTTTCATTTCTTCTTGTTACTCTTTTGTTTAATCTGATTTAACTGACATGAAAAAAATCCATTGTTTGTTAAAATCAAGGTTTTTCTGTAGTTAAAGGCTATTGACAAGTTATTGAGTTTTTAGGTGAATTAATTTAAAGGGCTCGAACAACGTTCCTCTGTGATGAAAAAGAACTGAGGAATTTTTAAATTTTATTCAGGGAAAAGAACAAAGCACAATTTAACAGTTCCTTGGGTGAAATTTTTTTAAAAAAATAACCCAAAAAAAATGTTGTTCATAAACGTAGCCAACATCGGGAAAAATTTTCTAGCCCAATTTTAAGTACCCCCGAGTTTCCTTCCCCGCATAAAAAATCTTTATGAAATAGTCAAATATAAAACAGATTAATCCTGTTTAACCCCCTTTATCTTCCGATCTTTGTGATTTGGTCTGCGTTCCCGTAAATTTATAAAATTTATCACTTTTTGGGAGTGGTTTGTACTGCAAAATTTTTGTAAGTCAGTTTAAAAAATTTAAAACCCCTTTTTTATAAAAAAGTTTTAAATTTTTAAAAATTTTAGCAGACCATGTGTTGGAGACATGGCGGGGGATAATTTCTTTGGGCAGAGTGGGATTGGTTTTGGGTTTCTTTTCCCTGACCTGTTGGTTTGGCAAAGTCATTATTCCAACCAAAATTAGGGAAAAAAAGATACTGGAAAATAAGGTTGTTCCCTTTTTGACAGTTCTTTGCTTTTTTATGTTTGGGTCTTTCAGGAGGGAATACCATCCAGGGGGACTTTTTTTTTTTTTTCAATTTTTACTACATTAGGACTACTTTAAAAACCCAAATTTCCCCTAGGGGTCTGTATGGCCTTTGGGGTCATACAAACACTCTTTTTTCCTCATGAAAAAAAGTTCTTTGTCTCCACAGAAGCCTTTAGTGCATCTCCAACCTTTTTTTCCCCTTTTCAAATTTTTATGGGTTTTTTCTTGTTTTCATGACCCATCCCTCCCCCAATCCCCCTCCCCAAAAACTCTGAACACATTTGCTCCCCCCATATCCTAATTCCAAAACTAATATACAACTTTCATAAATAAAATTTTTATTATTATACTTATGGGGAAGGGCTAAACACACAGAGGTCATACAATCTGAAGAATGGGGGCAGTCTGTTAAATCTCCGGAAAAGGGGGGGGGGGGGGGCAAAATTTTAAATTTCCCTTTGGGTCAGAAAACCCCCATCCCTGAGAGAGTAATGATATTTAGGCCCGTAGGTTTAAAAATTTTAACTTCTGTTGTTTTACTTCTTGCTAAATCCAGGCAATCTGTTAACCTTATTATGGGGGAAATTAAATTTTTGCTGTTTTTTGGGCCCTTTAGGGTTAATTTTTTTTCCAAAAACCCCCATAGGTTTATAAGGCTAATGGTGGAGGGATGCTGAAAGTCAGGATGGCAAAGAATAAAGAGATTTCATAAACCGGGAGAAGACGTTTTAAAGGGGGTTTGGTTGTGTGCTAAAGAGGGAAAAGTTTTGTTCTATTAGTAATACTGTGTATAATATGCTGACATAAGGAAGTTGAAAAAATTCTGTTTATATTCTTTGCAGATGATAGCAAGCTTGTCACAGCCTGAGACAGTACCTTCTAACTTCTCTGAACAGCTGCTGCAATATACTTACCAAGGGTACCGTGTGCTGGCGCTGGGTTGGCGCCCTCTTAGGCTCTCTTATAGAAAGGCACAGCAAATCAACCGTGATGAAGTAGAGTGCAACCTAGAATTCCTTGGACTACTAGTTATGGAGAACAGGTTGAAATCAGAAACTACACCTATTATTTCTCAGCTCCACATGGCCAAGATTAGGACAATAATGGTTACTGGTTAGTCAATTTCTGTTCTTACAGTAAAATCCTAAGGTTATATAGAGTGCAGTATTGCAGTTGATAATTCTTTAACATTTTTATAATTTTTAAAATATATTTATTGCCGGTTTCTTTTGCTTGATATATCTTCTAATTAAATTTGTTATGCAAATTAGCTCAGCTGATTATTTTACAAGTATGTAATATTTCACAGACTATTCTTTCATTGAGTATATTAGACTGTAATGTCTGTTATAGTCCTTGAGCCTTACCATCCACATAAAAGGTAACATGCCACCTATTCCTTACATTTGCAATATCTGCCACATTGCATCCCAATCTGCCTTATAAGCTTTTTTTTTTAAATCCATAAAAGCAATGAAAAATTCCTTACTTTTATCCATGTATTGTTTACCTATGTGCTTCAACGTAAATACTTGCCTGAACACCCCCTACCCTTTGTAAAGCCTCCTTCTTCCTCTGCTATCCTACTTCCAATAATTCATTCAATAATAACTATGCCATATACTTTACCCGGTATACTTGAAAAGCTTATTCCCCTATAATTCTTACTCTTTTATCCTCTTTTTCCCTTATACAAGGGAACTATGCATGCTCTCTGCCAATCCTTAGGTACCTTAATCTCCCCTTTCATACATATATTGAACAAAATCACCAACCACTCCAAAACTATATCCCTACACATTTTTTAACTTTTGTCTTAATCACATTAACCCCTTGACTGTCGCAACCCCGAATCCTGAGGTGTCGCCAAATTTAAAAAAAAAAGAAAATTATTTTTCTTATGAAATGATAGAGAATCTTTTCCCGATTGTAATGACACCAAAAGAACGAAATTTGATGGAAAACTGACGGAGTTATGTTCTCGCGAAGTTAGTGACCCCGGCGATATTTACAAACCGGCAATTTTGCCCACATTAAGCTCTATTTTCGGCTAATTCCATTGTTCCAGTCGACCAAACTCATAGTTATTTCTTTAGAACTCCATTTTACCTATCAATTGAGTACAAGAAACTGCCCATTTACCGATTTCAACTACCTTAATCACATGGTCAGAAATTTGCAATTTAGCCAATTTCATGAAAATTAAAAAATATGACAATTTCAAAATAGGGTCCAGAATGAACAATGCAGACATTCCTGGCTCTAAAATAACATTTTCTTTGTTCATCAGTCATGTCTCCAGGCCCCTCTGATATTATTCTTGCTTTCTATTTTGAATTTTTATTCAAACAAAAAATAGAAGATTTACTGTTATGCAGACTGCTGCAATATTGTAATAATTGTATAAATAATGTTAACCCATTCATGACTGCATATTAGAATGGCTACTTGGACATTTATTGGAAAATGACATCATTTGTTTACTGTTGAACATCGGCAAGCATTTCCTCTAGTTAGAGCTCCATTTCAAGGTTCTTTTCATAGTAAAACCAATCAAAACCACCTCTACTTCTATAATATGTTTTCCATTCTATCAACTGAGACCAAGAAAATGAAAATACAACCATAAATACTATACGAAAAGAGACCACAAAGTCGGCATTTTAATCCAAAAAAACGGTCGGAGTTTATTTTTTCTCATCATGCACTGCGTGCTGCAGGATTTTTTTTATATGGTGCACACTGACCACACATACCCATTCTCTCACATGTGGGCCTACCAGCTTTCTCCTGCTTGATTTGAAGCCGCTAGAATTTGAGTTTTTTTTTTTTTTTTTTTTTTTTTAACAAGTCGGCCGTCTCCCACCGAGGCAGGGTGACCCAAAAAGAAAGAAAATCTCCAAAAAAAAAAAAAATACTTTCATCATCATTCAACTCTTTCACCTCACTCACACATAATCACTGTTTTTGCAGAGGTGCTTAGAACACAACAGTTTAGAAGCATATATGTATGAAGATACACAACATATCCCTCCAAACCGTCAATATCCCGAACCCCTCCTTGAGAGTGCAGGCATTGTACTTCTCGTTTCCAGGACTCAAGTCCGGCTATATAAAAATAACCGGTTTCCCTGAATCCCTTCTCTAAATGTTACCCTGCTCACACTCCAACAGATCGTCAGGTCCCAAATACCATTCGTCTCCATTCACTCCTATCGAACACGCTCACGCACGCCTGCTGGAAGTCCAAGCCCCTAGCCCACAAAACCTCCCATACCCCTTCCTTCCAACCTTTTTGAGGACGACTCCTACCCCGCCTTCCTTCCCCTACAGATTTAAATGGTCTCCATGTCATTCTACTTTGATCCATTCTCTCTAAATGACCAAACTACCTCAACTACCCCTCTTCAGCCCTCTGACTAATTTATTTATTTTATTTATTTATTTATTTATGTCTTTGCAAACAGTACATTGAGATTTTATATTTATAATAGTGGGTTGCAATGCAAAGAGAGCCTCTATTATGCCTTGGCATTATGGGCCAACTTAACATTATTGGCTTACAGACTACTTAACTCTAAGGATTTTATCATAGTTGTACAGTAGGACAGTAATTATTTCATAGTTGAACAGTAGATTATTAATTATAAGTGAATTAAATTTGTATAAGAAATAGGATATATTCTTATAGTCTAAAATGCTTTTTGTGGAAAACAATGGTTCAGTTATATTCCTGTCAACAAATGGATAAAAGGTTCAAAGTGATTGTTGAAGTTATGGTGTGGGAGTACATAGGTGAGTATGTGTGTGCTGAGTATTTAGCGTTTAGTCTAGGGTGATTAAGTGGCTTTTGAGATGTCTTAAACTGGTTTTCAGACTGGGTTACTTTAATATCTTCTGGTAATGAATTCCATATTTTAGGGCCCTTTATGTGCATAGAGTTTTTACACAGTGTGATAAGAACACGAGGTATATCAAAAAGAGATCTGTGTCTTGTGTTGTGGTCATGTGTCCTGTTTAAGTTGGTGAGGAGAAGTTTGAGTGGAGGGTTTATATTTGCGTGTATTGTTCTGTGTATGTAGTAGGCACATGAATAAATATGGATGTTCTTAACCCTTAAACGGTCCAAACGTATCTATACGTTTTTTCAACATTTGAAAGTATGTAAAAAAATTTAGATCTTCTTTTGCTTTTTACATTTGAAAATGTGTAAAAAACTTTTATGTACATTTTATTTTTTGTTATATTTGAAAATATGTAAAAAAAAGGTAGATCTACTTTTGGAGCACTACGGATTTGAACATCGATCTGTTTGGACCGTTTAAGGGTTAATGGTGAGCAGATTCAGACTTTTGAAAATTGGTGGAGTGTGCTGGCGGGAGTGGGAATTCGTTATCATTCTTACTGCTGCCTTTTGCTGGGTTATGAGGGGTTTTAGGTAATTGGAAGTTGTTGATCCCCATGCACAAATTCCATATGTAAGAGGGTATATGAATGTATGGTACAGTGCCAGGAGAGCTGATTGTGGAACGTAGTACCTTATCTTTGATAGTATGCCTACAGTTTTGGAGATTTTCTTGGCGATTTGTTGTATGTGTGTCCGGAACTTAAGGCTACTGTCAAGGTGGATACCTAGGAATTTTCCCTCTGTGAGTCTTGTGACTGATGATCCATATAGCGTTATGTTAATCGGATCATTTGCAGCTTTATTTCCAAACTGAATGAAATAAGTTTTATCAGTATTCAGGGTAAGTTTATTAGTCATCATCCAGGCAGATATTTTCTGCAATTTGGCATTGACTGTGTTTGCTAGTATGACTGTGTTTGGGTGGGAAAAGACATACGTAGTGTCATCTGCAAATAATATGGGTTTAAGAAGCTGTGATGCATTCGGTAGATCATTGATGTAGATGAGAAAGAGGAGTGGTCCAAGGACGCTTCCTTGTGGGACTCCTACTGTGATTGGTTGGGTGGAAGAGTGTGCATCATTTGCATACACATATTGAGTTCTGTTACTAAGGTATGATTTTAGGTAGTTGAGGGAGTGGCCTCTGATACCATAGTGCGTTAGTTTGGAGTACAGCAGTTCATAGTTGACTGTATCGAGAGCTTTACGTAAATCAATGAAAATGCCCAGCGGGACTTCTTTCTTTTCGAGTGCTGTGTATATTAGTTCTAGCATGTGTATGATAGCATCATTCGTGCTTTTATTATTCCTGAATCCAAACTGACAAGGGTTTAATATGCTGTGTGAGACGAGGTAGGAATAGATCCGTCTATGCATTAATTTTTCAAAGATTTTAGAGAGCAGTGGTAAGTTAGATATTGGTCTATAGTTATTCAAGTCAGCTTGGTCACCCCCTTTGTGGATCGGAGTGACCCCTCACTATTTTGAGGATTGTTGGGAAGGTAGATGATTCAATGGATTTGTTAAAGAGCGTTGCAATAATTGGTGACAATACTTGAGAAGCTTTTTTATACATAAAAGCAGGCAAGCTGTTATGCTCCTGCCTTTTTTTTAAAAGGGTGTTTATGATGAGTTTTAACTTCTTTTGGGTTGGTTGGAGCTAGAAAAATAGCATATTTGGGTAGGTACCTAGGGTAGTCTGATGGATGGCTGTTTATGCTTGGTATTTTGTTCGCTAGATTTTCACCTATGGTGGAGAAGAAAACATTAAGTCTGTTTGCTGTTTCAGTTGGTGTGAGTAGGGGTTCATCTGATTTTGTTAGTTTGATTGTTTTGTTTTTGGATAACTTTTTATTTCCAAGAATTTCAAATAGAGTTTTCCAGGTTTTTTTCATATAACCTTTGATGTTATGTAGTCTATTTTCATAATACATTTTTTTAGATCTTCTTATCAGGGGTAAGTGCTGACGAGTAATGTTTAGACTGTTCTCTAGTTATTTGACCCATTCTATACTGTTTTTCATATTTGTGCTTTGTGTTAATGGATTTGAGGATGCTTGGTGTTAGCCAAGGATTATTCAGTCTCTTTGCTGTGATCTGTTTAGTTTTTTGGAGGCAATGTTTGTTCTAGAGGCTTTGGGCTTTTTTTAGAAAATTATTTATACATTCATTCATATCTGTATATGTTTCAAGCTCATTTTGCCAA